TGTCTGCCCAGAGACAAGCCCCTTGAGAATTTGGTCTCCCCTGCAGGCCCCACATTCACAAGGACAGGGCATTTGGGGGAAGAAGCCCTTGTCCTACAATTTTTATTTATTTCTTTTTATACACTTTTTAATTAAACTTTATTGCTATCACCAGGGATGAACAACATCCCTGGTGATAGCCTAGGCAATGACAGGTACTCTTTATGGTGCGATTTCTCCTCTGCCCTTCAAAGCAGCTGATCAAACACAGATCTGTCTAATTGGCTGCTTCAAAGGCTGGTTAAAACTGGTGGGCCAGAAAATCCTGGAAATGACGGCAGATGGCAGCCCCCTTCCACTCCTTGTAAAAGTGATCAGGCAGCTGTATAGCCACTTGGATCACTTTTTGAAAAAAAAAAAATGGCGCAGGTGGCAGCGCCCTTCCACTCCTTGTAAAAATGATCAGGCAGCTGTGTAGCCACTTGGATCACTTTTTGAAAAAAAAAAAATGGTGGCAGGTGTCAGCCCCCTTCAACTCCTTGTAAAAATGATCAGGCAGCTGTGTAGTCACTTGGATCCCTTTTTTGAAAAAAAAAAAAAAAAGCATTGCCAGCAGAAAATGTTGATACCAGGATCAATGCTGAAGCTGCAACCATGATCATGATAAAATCACTTACAATGGGGCAAAAAAGTATTTAGTCAGCCACCAATTGTGCAAGTTCTCCCACTTAAAAAGATGAGAGAGGCCTGTAATTGGCATCATAGGTAGACCTCAACTATGAGAGACAAAATGAGAAAAAAAATCCAGACAATCACATTGGCTGATTTGGAAAGAATTTATTTGCAAATTATGGTGGAAAATAAGTATTTGGTCAATATGAAAAGTTCATCTCAATACTTTGTTATATATCCTTTGTTGGCAATGACAGAGGTCAAACGTTTCCTGGAAGTCTTCACAAGGTTGGCACACACTGTTGCTGGTATGTTGGCCCATCCTCCATGCAGATCTCCTCTAGAGCAGCGATGTTTTGGGGCTGTCGCTGGGCAACACAGACTTTCAACTCCCTCCAAAGGTTTTCTATGGGGTTGAGATTTGGAGACTGGCTAGGCCACTCCAAGACCTTGAAATGCTTCTTACGAAGCCACTCCTTCGTTGCCCGGGCGGTATGTTTGGGATTATTGTCATGTTGGAAGACCCAGCCACGTTTCATCTTCAATGCCCTTGCTGATGGAAGGTTTGCACTCAAAATCTCGCAATACATGGCCCCATTCATTCTGTCCTGTACATGGATCAGTCGTCCTGGTCCCTTTGCGGAGAAACAGCCCCAAAGCATGATGTTGCCACCCGCATGCTTCACAGTAGGTATGGTGTTCTTTGGATGCAACTCAGCATTCTCTCTCCTCCAAACATGACGAGTTGTGTTTCTACCAAACAGTTCTATTTTGGTTTCATCTGACCATATGACATTCTCCCAATCCTCTTCTGGATCATCCAAATGCTCTCTAGCAAACTTCAGACAGGCCCGGACATGTACTGGCTTAAGCAGGGGTACACGTCTGGCACTGCAGGATCTGAGTCCCTGGCGGCGTAGTGTGTTACTGATGGTAGCCTTTGTTACGTTGGTCCCAGCTCTCTGCAGGTCATTCACTAGGTCCCCCCGTGTGGTCCTGGGATTTTTGCTCACCGTTCTTGTGATCATTTTGACCCCAAGGGGTGAGATCTTGCGTGGAGCCCCAGATCGAGGGAGATTATCAGTGGTCTTGTAGGTCTTCCATGTTCTAATTATTGCTCCCACAGTTGATTTGTTCACTCCAAGCTGCTTGCCTATTGCAGATTCAGCCTTCCCAGCTTGGAGTGTGACTGTTTGAGGTTGTGGACAGGTGTCTTTTATACTGATAACAAGTTCAAACAGGTGCCATTGATACAGGTAATGAGTGCAGGACAGAGGAGCCTCTTAAAGAAAAAGGTACAGGTCTGTGAGAGCCAGAAATCTTGCTTGTTTGTAGGGGACCAAATACTTATTTTCCATCATAATTTGCAAATAAATTCTTTCCAAATCAGCCAATGTGATTGTCTGGATTTGTTTTCTCATTTTGTCTCTCATAGTTGAGGTCTACCTATGATGCCAATTACAGGTCGCTCTCATCTTTTTAAGTGGGAGAACTTGCACAATTGGTGGCTGACTAAATACTTTTTTGCCCCACTGTAAACCCAAGGACGTAATGATACATCCTATTGCTGGAAACATTCTTCTCCCATTGACTTTAGTAACATTCGAATTAACAACATTCAGAGGAACAGTTCAGCAAATCCCCTGCTAACTGAACCCAGGCATATTCAACCCATCCCTACACCCCTCTGTGAGTTTTCTGATGTCTAACAAGGTCTGATTTCTCTGAAAAACATTTCCCGCACTCAGGACAGGAATATGGCTTCTCCCCAGTGTGCAATCTCTGATGTCTATCAAGGTGTGATTTCCGGGTAAAACGTTTTCTGCACTGAGGACAGAAATATGGCTTCTCCCCCGTGTGAGATCTCTGATGTATAAAAAGTTTTGATTTCCATGAAAAACATTTCCCGCACTCAGAGCAGGAATACGGCTTCTCCTCTGTGTGAGTCTGCTGATGCGAGTAAAGTGAGGACAACTGTGGAAAACGTTTTCCGCACTCAGGGCAGGAATACGGCTTCTCTCCAGTGTGGGATCTCTGGTGCATAACAAGTCTTGATTTCCATGAAAAACACTTCCCACACTCAGAGCAGGAATACGGCTTCTTTCCTGTGTGAATCTTCTGATGCAAGTAAAGATTGGACAACCGTGGAAAACATTTCCCACACTCAGGACAAGAATATGGCTTCTCTCCAGTGTGAGATTTCTGATGTGAAATGACGTGCGATTTTTGTGTATAACATTTCCCGCAATCAGGACAAGAATACGGCTTCACCCCCGTGTGAGATTTCTGATGTCTAACGAGATTTGATTTGTTTGTAAAACATTTTCCACATTGAGGACAGAGATATGGCTTTTCCCCCGTGTGAGATCTGTAATGTATAACAAGTTCTGATTTATGAAGGAAACATTTCCCGCACTCAGAACAGGAATGAAGCTTCTCACCCGTGTGAGATCTCTGATGTACAATAAGACTTAATTCAGAGTTAAAACTTTCCCCGCATTCAGGACAGGAAAATTTCTCCTCCTCCTTAATTCCAGCACCATCCCTCACAGTACGAGGTTGCTCAGAGTCAGAGGGATTTGATGGTCCATCCACACTGTGAAGTCCACCATCCATAGCGGAGATCATCGTTGTTTCTCCGCACAATCTCTTGTGATCTCCTCATCTTCCATTTTACAACCCGAAGATAAAGTGAGATGATCCTTTGAGGGTTCCTCGATGGCGTATCCTGGAAAATATAAAAACATAATCAATAGATACAAAACAGTGTGTTCACTTAAATCAAGATTCCATCTGGATCAGGTAGACTTGGGTGAGCAGATGTTCTCTGTAGACATCCCAACCAGCTGTGACTTCCCCTCTTCAGTAAAAGGTCCTTTGGTCCTCCCCCCAGATCACTTCTACATTTCCCCAGTCAGAAGAGCAGGAACCAATGGGGACTGGGGAGGCATGCTCTTCACACAACCACAAGGCTAGGCACTGGGTCTGGTAACTAAGAGGTTCAAAGTTCAGACTGGTAGAGCCTTTAGCATAGAACAAGTGTCCGTAGGTCTAGGCTTCTGCTGAAAAGAACTGTTCTGTCCCACTTTTATGTAATCTTCTGTTTTGTATGGAACTGCATCGGGTTATTATTGTTTTGTAGTATGCTGACATCTAGTGGCATGTTTGGATCACTACAACTTGTTTAGTATATGATTTTGGTTTCTCCCTCTATACTTCCATCCTGTTTGATGCTAGTTAGTTCAGTCTTAGCTAGACCCGTTCTATTTCTTCCATGTTCCCTCAGTCAGTGCTAGTCATTCGCCGAGACCGGGCTTAGGAAAGTCAATGTTTTTCACATTCAGCCCGCTCTTCAGACAGCAATAGACAGGCGGTGAGGAGACATTGTACTGCCTCTTCACCGCCTGTTTAACCCCCTAAATATCAGACAATGCACCTTGATTCACCTGAGTGAGTTATGCTCAGTGGGCGATACTGCCCACCAAGCAAGACAAAGAATATTCACCCTGAGATCATCACAGAGGACAAGGGTGGCACTCTTTACATCTGGAGGAAAATAAATTTAATCTCCAAACACGGAAAGGTTTCTTCACAGTGAGAGCTGTGAAAATGTGAAATAGACTCCCTCAAGAGTTGGTTGTGGCCAGCTCAGTGGATTGCTGTAGGAAAGTCCTGGATTCTTTCTTGGATACACAGAATATAACTGGATATAACATTTATAGGTAAAGTTGATCCAGGGAATATCTGATTGCCTCTCGGGGGATCAGGAAGGAATTTTTTTTCCCCTAGCAGGAGCAAATTGGGTCGTGCTTTGCTGGGTTTTTTTTGCCTTTCCTCTGGATCAACTGTGGATGTAGGATTATAACTTTCTTTCTTTTAATGGTTGAACTGGATGGACTTTTGTCTTTTTTCAGCCAGACTAACTATGTATGTAACTATATAGCAATGTAATATAATTCTTGCAATGCTTTGCTTAATGGCCAGGGCATGAGTAAACCTCTAGCCACTGCCTCAGCAGCAAAAGAGGGAGAAGATGAGGGACAATAAAATCCAATTGACAAATGTAAACAAGCCCCGAGTCTACTTGGAGAAGAGGGAACAACCTAAGAAAGGCACAATCTGTTTCATTACATCTGGGCTACTGTGACTAGGAGTGAAATACAACCGAATACTGCCAGATGACCCCCAGAATCTACATAAATAATGTCTGAGAACATAATTTGTGTCTGCAACACAGAGAAGGGGGTTTATCTGCGAGAAAAGAAGACATAATGAGCAGGACGGGTATCAGTGACTATTGTCAACCTATTATTGGCTGATACCACTCATCTCCCGCCCTACTCTGGACCAATCAGTGTGCAGTAACAGAGCAGAGATAACAGAAGAATATATTGTGTCTCACCTGTGCTGATCTCTGTAGGAGTGTCCTCCTCTTTGAATGTCCTCATCATTCCAGCCTCCTCCGTATATTGCTGATCATCCCTCACATACGTCTCTTCTACTTCACCCTCAACTTTCATCTTCATCAGATCTTCACCCTAAACCAACAGAATGGCAGAAATAACATCTGTAATATAGAAGGATTTATGATGTGAGATCACATAGAAAATATCATCTTGTAGAGTCCACACATCGTCTCCACATGTCAGAGTGTTCCATCACTTTATGTTCCAGACCCTCAACTCCACCAACCTGATGATGGTGAGGGATGGTGTGACCTTCCTGTGTGGAATCCCGGGAATACAGAGGACGGGGACATCTCTCTGGTGGGTTCCCATGACTGGATTCATCTACCTGAGATGGTGAGGGATGGTGTGACCTTCCTGTGGGGAATCCCGGGAATACAGAGGACGGGGACATCTCTCTGGTGGGTTCCCATGACTGGATCCATCTGTAGGAAACACACACACTGACTGAATCCATTGTTTCTATGTGTTTATCAGATGATGGGGGATCTAGGTGGATCCTCCGTACTGCTCTCTCCTTTACAATAAAGTCTCCTCTTACCCGGTGATGTGAGGGGCGGCTGATTGTCCATCATGACGTCCTTGTAGAGATCCTTGTGTCCTTCTAAATACTCCCACTCCTCCATGGAGAAATAGACAGTGACACCCTGACACCTTATAGGAACCTGACACACACAATGATACAGTCACCATCCAGACACATCCCTTGTCTGTTACTGGAGAATGTCCCAGAATTCCCGGCACCGCTCACCTCTCCTGTCAGCAGCTCCATCATCTTCTTGGTGACTTCTAGAATCTTCTGCATGTTGTGTCTCTCAGGGTTTAGGGAGTCACATGGAGGCACTGTGATGGTCATATGATCACCTGACTTCACAAGATCAAATCTCTGTATTGAGGAACCAATAGGAATATCATGTTAGACTCCCAGAATCCTCCTCACCTCTCCGGTCAGGTCTGTGTTTTATTATTAGAGATAAGAGTGATGTCATGTGACCTCCCAGAATCCTCCTCACCTCTCCGGTCAGCTCTGTGTTTTATTAATAGAGATAAGAGTGATGTAATGTGACCTCCCAGAATCCTCTTCACCTCTCCGGTCAGCTCTGTGTCTTATTAATAGAGATAAGAGTGATGTCATGTGACCTCCCAGAATCCTCCTCACCTCTCCGGTCAGGTCTGTGTTTTATTAATAGAGATGAGTGATGTCATGTGACCTCCCAGAATCCTCCTCACCTCTCCGGTCAGGTCTGTGTTTTATTAATAGAGATGAGTGATGTCATGTGACCTCCCAGAATCCTCTTCACCTCTCCGGTCAGCTCTGTGTCTTATTAATAGAGATAAGAGTGATGTCATGTGACCTCCCAGAATCCTCCTCACCTCTCCGGTCAGGTCTGTGTCTTATTAATAGAGATAAGAGTGATGTCTTGTGACCTCCCAGAATCCTCCTTACCTCTCCGGTCAGCAGGTAGATGATCTCCAGGGTGAAGTTTAGTATCTTCTCAGTCATGTGAGTCCAATTATTCTCCATCTTAATTGACATGGTCATCTGATCTGTGCAGGTTTTCTGTAGACATAGAATTTTCTGGACATTATTGGCTGTACAATATTAGGATGGGGATGAAAGGCATTAATGAGCAGGCTACCCCTGGTGGGAATTGACAGATGTGCAGGGAGCTGTGTCCGTCTAGTGTTTGTATTTGTAAAAAACATTTGCTTGGTAAATATCACAGTTAATTGATAATAGACAGGTACCTTATTTCCCTGCTAGGTAGGTCAGAAACCCTGATTGAAGGTCTGTGATATCTCATGATGGGGTGTTTTCAGGAAACAGGGAAAGAATTGGACATAAACTTCCATGCAGGAGTTGCTGCTGCATCTCATCCAGATCAGAAGCAGAGACTATTGGGCAAGTATTTGTGTTCTAAGAATTTTACTTTTGCAGCTTGAGTGTGTATCTGATGTCTGGTGACAGAAGGGTTTCTGTCCTACTGCCAGATGGCTAGGTCTGTGCTACTGTCTGTGCAGTGTTCACCTTGCAGTATATTAGGTATGCTTCTTTATTAATGCATTAAAAAAAACACATATTAATGTAATATATAAAACAACAGCAAAGTGCATGAAGCATTGGCTACAATATTGTAAAGGTTCCAAAGTGATTGACTTATTCAGTGAAATATCCTCTGTCATCCATGAAAAACCCGACGCGTTTCAGATCACTTTTTCATCAGGGGCAAGTTGTGGAGGAGAACAGTATATTCTATAACATAACATCAAGAAAAAGATGAACAATAGCAATAACTTGGATATACTGTACAGAGTAGTTATCATGAAGACTCTCCATTATACATACGTATGGATCAATTGTGGCCTTATGTATATTAAAAATACACCTGTCATCGCTTATTGATGCCCACAGTGGTTGCCAACCAAGAATGTGCATCCAGCCGTGTCCCCACTGCAAGTGTTAATTGCTCTTTTAGGTCAAGGGTGCAAGGATTCAACCTATGTCTGTAGCCCCTTAAATGTCTTCAGTTATTTCTAGCCTCTGAGCTCTAGAGAAATAAAGCTCCGGACACCGAAGTGTGCAAACTAAATCTCTGAAAGATTAATGTGTGCTAGCAGTTTTTACAAATTCAGAATGACCAACGAAATATTGTAATTGTCACGAACCTGTGGTAGTGAGCCCTTGTAGTTCGCCAACGTGGGGTTCCCCAGGGCACGGAGTCTAAGCCCCAGCCTGCTTCTTCACCAGAGCTCCTGATGGTGGGGATGGACTTGCAGCAAGCTGGGACCAGGTTGTGGCCCCTGGGTACGCCCAGCTGAGGATGAGGAGACAGCTCATGGGAGCAGAGTACAATGGGAGGAGACAAACGGAAATCCGATAGACTAGCTGAGGTCAGGACAAGCGGAAAACAAGCACAGTCAGAGAACGAAGCCGGGGTCGGTACACAAGTAGTCAATGCAGGATACAGGAGATAGCAACACACAGGAGCTCAGACAACTAGGAAGTTGCTCAGGCAAAGTGGGCTAGACTGAGCATGTCTTATATAGGCAGGCAAACAAGGAGGGCCAGGAAGTGATGGAAGGGAAGGAAATAAAACCCAGAGGACAGCAGATGACGTCCATAGGTGAGCACAGACAAACACACATGTGAAAGGGATCAGGAACAGGACAGCAGCAAGGAGGTAAGACTACACAAACAAGAGACTGCAAGCTAACATGTGACAGTACCCCCCTCTTACGAGGTCTCCCCACTAATTTAGGGCCAGGCTTAAGGGGAAACTTCTAATGAAAAAAGTCCACCAGATGGGGTGCAGAAACATCAGAAGGAATCCAACACCTCTCCTCAGGACCATATGCCTTCCAGTCAATTAGATACGAAAGCTTCCCTCTAATGAATTTGGAATCCAAGATTTGCTTGACTACATACTGATCCGAAGTATTCACTATTGGGGAAGGATGACGATGAGGACGGGAAAACTTGTTGATGATATACAGTCTCAGAAGAGAAACATGGAAAATGTTAGGGATTCTCAGATGTGAAGGGAGGCAAAGTTTGAAAGCAACACGATTGACCTGGCCGAGAATGGTATATGGACCAATAAAACAAGGAGCAAATTTCATAGAGGGTACTCATAGATGGATATTCTTGGTAATGAGCCAAACCTTGTCACCAGGGAGACATTTGGGTCTCACCCGGTGATGACAATCTGCAGCTACTTTGTACTTGGAAGCTGACAGATGTAAGTTCTTGAAAACATTTGCCTCAGAAGGAGTAAGAATGGGAGAACACACGACAGGAAGCTGGGCTGGAGCAGACACCAATAACCAGGATGAAGGGTCTGGTGAAGAGGCAGCCAGGGAGGACACAGGAGAAGGCTTGAAGGCTTTGATTTGACAAGTGGACATAACAGGCTGTGCAGAACAGGAACCTGGGGTAATACAAGGGACAGAGGGCACTGAAGGGTGTATGACAAGGAGGAAGGGTGTACAAGGGGGGACAGAGGCACTGTAATGTGCATGGGGGCAGGACAGGGGACAGAAGGCACTGTAGCTACTAATGTGGAAACCACGGCTGGGTCCAAAGCAGCTGAAAGGAGTAGGGGTATTGGGGTCTCAGCAGACAGGCCACATGAAGCTGGGAACTCAGATGGTACAGAGGTCACAGATGTTGGGGCCTCCACCCATCCAGAAAGTAGCAAAATATGAGCTCTGAGCTGCACAGTATGTAAAGGGACCGATGGTTTGGGCAGCAAAGAGGGTGAGGAACTAGAGGTGGACAGCACCGGAAGGGGGCCTGCAATAGGAGCAGGCAAGGGAGCAGCTCTACTACAAAAAACATCTTGGAAGGCCTGGCAATGTTGAGGGAGCATCGAAGAGGTGGTGGCCTCAACCACCGGGTACAGTGCGAGGTGGGAGCACCTTAGGGAGACAAGTCCGATTGCATTTTGACCCCCAAGACAATACTTGGCAAGAGTTCCAGTCAAGATTGGGTGAGTGTTTCTGCAACCATGGAAGTCCAAGAATGATGGGACTTGAAGACTTAGGGAGGATTGGGAAGATTTCCTCACGATGAAGAGAGCCAACATGCATAGTTATGGAGGTGGTTCGGAAGCGTAGAGGTCCTAAGGCCAAGGTAGAGCCATCAACTGTAGATACTGATTGGGATGTCATCAAGGGGACAAGACGAATGCCCAATTCAGTGGCCAAAGATTACACAATGAAGTTCTTGGCTGCCCCAAAGTCCACATAAGCAGAAACCTGGTATGATAACTCGAGGGAAGGTGGCAGAATTCAGGTTCTGGTTGTTAAGATCCGCCTGGCGGTGTCTCTAGCAGCCCACAGCGCGGAGTTCCTCAGGGCGCGGGGTCTAAGTCCCAATCTGCTATTCACCAGGGCACCTGATGGTGGGGATGGACTTGGTGCAGACCGAGACCAGGTCGTGACCCCTGAGTGCGTCCGGCAATGGTAGAGAGCACCGTCAGAGGTGTGCGAGAAACGGAGTCTGATGTGAAGAGGCTGGCAGACTTACTGACAGGGAGTGATCCATGCGGGATGGATGGATGGATCGCCCGGGTAGCGTGAAGCGTAGTCAGGCAGGCCGGGTCGGTATTTTGTGGGCAGCGAGGTACCAGAGGAGTAAGCAGAGAATGGTCGGAGTCACAAGCCAGGTTCAGCAATTAGTGGTCAGCGCGGTACCAAGAATCAGGCAGAAGGATGGTCAGGCAAGCCAGGGGTTAATCAGGAGAAGTCAGCAGGGTCAGGTACAAAGCAGAGGTCGGCAATGGAATAATCACAGGAACAAGAATCAGGAACAGAGCAGGTAAGACCAAACGGCAATTTGACATACCTCTGTTCTTGTTTAAATAGCCCGTCCTGCGCTGTCATTGGTGCCAGGTGCGTGTCCGCGATCGTGAGTGCGCATGCGCGGCCACCGCCGCAGCCGTGCTCGTCCAGGTCCCGTAGCCCGCCGGCTAGAGCCTGAAGGTGTTCTGCGCATGTGCCGCCCGGCGCAATGCTGCAGAACACCCGCGTCCTGACACTGGTCTAGATCGCCTCCCTAGACCCGAGAGTTTCCCTGGGTGGACAGAATAGGACTTAATTATATGACCTTCAGCCCCAC